TGGTCCATTGCCGCTGCGTACGTAGGCCCGAGCAGTTACGGACGTGACTCCCCCGCCACAGGCATTGCACCTGACCGAGGTGGAGTTTGTATGCAGTCGTCTCTGGCATACGCAGCAGGTGTAAATTTCTGGCCCTGGGTTAGACTCTACACCAGCCCTGAGCAGAAGGGTACGGAGCAGATGTAGCCCTAGAATCGAGCAACGTTTGATGGATTTCGCCGACATAAACGGGGTTAGATCGCCGAAACAACAGCCCTTGGTCGGGTAAATCCCCGAGTCATTCCGGTACGTAGAACCGGCTGTCGTGGGAATGTGTGTACATAAGCTCATACCTCACGGTGACCTTTTATACATATATGCATATAAATAACTCAATTGTGAGGTCTATGGTTAGATAATTTACAGTGGTGTAATATTAAGTATTACGTTGTAAATGTACTCATAATTAGCGGCAACGATTATAAACAGTGGTGTAAATTTAAATGAAACAAATTTATGATAATGTTCAATAAACTATCTTTCGTGTTGAAATTTTGAAGTCTCTTTAATAAAGTACAACCTTGCGTATTTTTTAGTGGGTTTTGTGTGTTTTAAGTATTTATATCGATTGATTGGTACTGAGTGAATGTGTGTACACATAGCAAAAGCAGCATTCATCTGAATGTTCATTCAGTGTTAAAAGTGAATGTTTCGCTTTTCAATTTTTTCAATCTTTTTGTGAATATGTTAATGTGTGCAATCGTATCTACTTGGAAGGAATGTAGAATTGGAAAATTATAAGCCACATTTTCCAACACGGGAGTATTCAATAACATAATAATATAAAATTGATGATTTTTAATTTCAAATGATTTCAGTTTTACAGCTCTGTTAACCACATTTTTATAAAGAATTATGCTGGATTTCCACTAGGCATTAAATGGCAGAAATTTTTATGACAAATTTTGGCATTAAAAAATATTCGTGTCATTACGTTAAAAAAAATCATATTCAACAATTTTTATTGAGCTCGAGGCCGTTTTTTAATGAAAATTTATTGTGGAAAAGCAACAACGAAAATTTACAAGGCGTACTTAGCACGGTGCATAGGCAACTGGCTGAGTCAGTGGGATCGTCGGTTCGAATCCTACTGAAAGAAGTCTGATGAGGAAATGTGGTGATTTCCGAAATAGCTATCACTTCTACCAATTTTTCAAATTATTGTTGCTTTTCCACAATAAAAAATTTTCATTTAAAACGGCCTCGAGCTCAATATAAATTGTTGAATATAATCGTTATAAAGTCCAAAAAAATAACAAAAACAAATAAAATTTTTATTTTCATTAGAAGCACCCTGTGCCAAATAGGTGCATGCATTTAGGCATATGCATAGTAAGAAGAAATGCGCTACAATTGATTATTAGCTGTCATCGATTCGCCTTCAGTTAGCAAGTGGCGAAACGAACAAACTCAATGAGGTACAACCAAACTTGCTATCGTCTATCCGTGCTAGCTCACTTTGTTGTTGCTTTCACATGCAAAATTTTTCGTTAAGCGACCGGAATTCAAACATAGCGAGCGAGAAATGGCGAATCGACGACGGCATGGCATCCTATGACACCCACAATACACAAGATACTAATTCCTTATTAACAATAGGACAATTATCGGGAAGGCTCAAGAGGCCCACAACAAACACTACCGAGAAAATTATTCCCGGAAGTTTTCTCGTGAAGT